CAGCCTGGACATCAGACCTGAGCGCCACTTTTCAGTCCTGCTTCTTGCTGGCTGCTGGAGTGTCTTTTCTTTCTTCCTCAGCTCACGGGCACTCACATTCAGTGGTACCTCAGAGTAACATTGAGGGCCAATACCCTGTGGTTTACTCGTTTTTGGCTGCATATCATTGGCCCAGGAACTCAGGGAGGGTGTGCATGAACCCTTGTGCCTTGCTCTTTGGGTCCCAGACAGAAAGCACACTGCAATCATTTGGGGAGATGTCAATGTTCCCCAAGTCCCAGCTGTAAGGTTATGAATTTGATGTACCCATCCCAGTTGCTATCTACCCTGCCATATGCTTATTTCAGAGAAGTGAAGGTGACCCGTCCGCCCAGAAATGCTCTCTTGCCAACACTGCTCTGGGTGGGGCCTTGGAAATGCTCACTTGGGTGGGTGGTGGCATCTCCCTGCTCTGGTGTCTGTTTATCCTCGTCCTCTTTCTGTAGCACGTTCCAACCCCTTCTTAAACATTTCCTCTTCCCCCCAGCATAGGGCTCCCTGTGCATCTTCCCAGTGGAAAGCAGTTCAACCCTGTGCTTCCCAGATATTTGGTCCCCAAGGCAGTGGCTGGTGGGCAAGCAGGTTGCTGGCCCTGAACTAGCCTGACCAGCCAATTCCGATTCCGCAAGGGAGTCTCAGAGATTTCCTCCATTTAGTGACTCACACAGTCGTTCTCCACTTGGAACAGCCAGTTCTGAACCATGCTGTCTCCTAGAAATTGTAATTCCAGTCTCATCCTCATCTTTACAACGTCCCTTTTGCTTTCCAGTGGTGTTCCAGGAAACTTGTTCATGCCGGGTTCTTCTCTCTCTCCCCCTTTCAGGAGGCCAGGATACAAATGCAATTTCGGCTCACATCCAGGGATCTGATTTTAATTTAAGATGCAGCTGGCCTGCTCCTTAATTCCAAAATTCTTAACAGCAATCTCCACCCGCAAGTTGTAACACTCACAAAGCCACCCACATGGTACAGTTTTAGAGCTGTGTAACCATTAATGAAATACAGTGTATTGTTCTACTTCATTTAATTTAATGGCTGCATCATGTACCATGGATGTACCATAATTTGTTTAACTAATCCCCTATTGAAGAACATTAAGGTAATTATTATTGTTATTAAACGAGCAGCTGAACCTTGGAAACACACTCTTAAATGCTTTCCCTCTGAGGAAAATGAAGAAACTGACTGTTTCTTATCAAGCTAACCAAGCCCTTGGAGATTATTATACCCCAGCCTGAGATTCACTGGCAGCCTTAGAGGTTGTTACCGATAGGAGTGGGCCACTCAGGGTGTTGGAGCCAGAAAAGGTTGACAACCAGCACAGCCTTTGAAGACTAAATATTCAAATCAAGGACAAACCTCTGAAAGATCCACTGATGAAAAAGTAACCAAACTTCCTTGTATTTTCTTCTGATTATAATCCTCAGGACCTTCTTTTACCCAGCCACAGAATACGTCTTCTTGAATATGCTTATGGGTGATGTCTCTTCCTCTTAGATGTTCAGAAAGGCCTGCTTGCTGTATAGGAGAGAAGCCAAGAGACTCAGGGTGTCTGCACAGCCACAGCCCCCCTCAGATGACGGGAGGCTCCTCACCAGCAATGTGCCCTGTTTTGTGTCTTGTGAAAGTGCTTCGTAGCCAATGGCAGCCACATTTAGGCAGACAAGAGAGAAGGCCTGTGAGAGCTCTCCATCCATAAGAAACACTACACTGGACTGTGGCAAAGAGACCTAATCAGAGCCCAGGCTTGATGGGGAGACCACAGGTAGATGGTGTAGAAGCAGGAAGTCTGTCAGCAAGGACTGATGCGCCAGACACTCCTCTAAACGCTTTACATGTTCTGACTCTTTCAATGTCATACTAGCCCTATGAGGTAGGCGCTATGATCGCCATTCTGCAGATGAAGATGAAACTGTGCAACTCAGATTGGGAATTGAACCCATGCGCCGGGACTCGAAACCAGCCAAATCCCAGATTGGGACTTGAACCCATGGTCTTTACATGGGCCTCTCACTGCTGTGGCCTCTCCCGTTGTGGAGCACAGGCTCCGGATGCGCAGGCTCAGCGGCCATGGCTCACAGACCCAGCCACTCCGCGGCATGTGGGATCTTCCCAGACCGGGGCACGAACCTGTGTCCCCTGCATCGGCAGGCGGACTCCCAACCACTGTGCCACCAGGAACCCATGGTCTTTTAATTTAGATCAGACACATAGTCTCAGGACTTAATGAAGCTCGGGTTCTTGATTGCTCGTCACAGAAAGAATTCAGTGAAAGACAGAGTGATAGGTAAGAAGTGGATTTATTTAGAGAGAAACACACTCCACAGACAGACTGTGGGCCATCTCAGAAGGTGAGAGCAGCACCAGGGTATAGGGTTGTCAGTTTTTATAGGGGTGGGTAATTTCATAGGCTAATGAGTGGGAGGAGTATTCTAGCTATTTTGCAAAGGGACGGGACTTCAGGAATTGGGCCACCGCCTAATTTTTGACCTTTATGGTCAGCCTTGGAACTGTCATGGCACCTGTGGGTGTGTCATTTAGCTTGCTGATGTGTTACAGTGAGTGTATACTCAGGCTCAAGGTCTAGTAGAAGTCAACCGTCTGCCATCTTGGGCCTAATCAGTTTATGTCATGTCCTCAGGCTATGTCATTCTTTTAAAGGTTGTGCCCTGCCCCCTTCCCTCCTGTTTCAAAGAGAATGAAGCTCAGAAATGTTACACAACCAGCTCAACGGAAGCCCCCAGTGACACTGAGATCTGGGCCCCGCAGCCTGACTCATGCTCCTACCACGACACTCACTGTTTTTCGTTGTAGTTGAAGTAGAAGCGGCCACAGTGATGGGCCATAAAGAGTAGATAAAACAGAGAGAGAGGTTTTTAAAAAAATATTATTTTATAAATTTATTTATTTATTTTTGGCTGCATTGGGTCTTCGTTGCTGCCCACGGGCTTTCTCTACTTGGGGCAAGCGGGGGCTACTCTTCGTTGCAGTGCACAGGATTCTCATTGTGGTGGCTTCTGTTGTTGTGGAGCACGGGCTCTAGGCGTGCAGGCTTCAGTAGTTGTGGCCCGTGGGCTCTAGAGCGCAGGCTCAGTAGTTGTGCTGCACTGGCTTAGCTGCTCTGTGTCATGTGGAATCTTCACAGACCAGGGCTTGAACCCATGTCCCCCGCATTGGCAGGCGGATTCTTAACCACTGCGCCACCAGGAAAGTCTGAGAGAGTTTCTTGACTGTTAAGGGGACTAGAGTCGGGAACTAAGGGGAAAACAAGGTGATCAGGTCACCAGGACAGCCATTGGTCCTGCAGGACAAGGAACCCTTGTTCCTGAGCTCCAAGGGTGGGTGGGGCACGCTTTGCTGTTTCACAATCTCCTTCTCAGATCACATTAGGCCTCAAGAAACTGGAGCCAGTCTTTGTTCCCTAGGGCTTGAAAGAGCCTATCTAACTTGCTTTATTATGTTAATTGTGCAGATAACCACTATAAGCTAAATGGTCAGAGAGAAGGAAAAAAAGAAAGATTAAGGTAAATAAACCAGGAGCTCGAGTGCCCAGCTGAGCAGCAGATCAAAAGACAAAGGAATTGCCGGTCTTGGGACCTTAAAATCAGACAAAGCTCCCTCTGTAATTACAGGAGCCTGTGCATCAACCCTACTGCCAATTTACTCTCCACTGTTTCACAGGTTCAATAGTTTTTCATGTCCTTTATTTATTTCATTGTCACATCCACCCTATGAGGCATGCCAGATAGGTACTACTACAGATGAAGAAGCTGAGGCCCAGGGATGGTGGGAATTGCCCAGGGTCATGCAATTTGATTGCTGCAGAGCCAGAACTGGAACCCATGGTTTCCCAGTGGGCGTGGAACCAGGTCACAGCAGTTCTTGAGAAGTGAGTGCATGCATCCCTTCCCAACTCCACGTTCAGCAGCAACGCTTTGGTAGCTTGATGGAGTATTTACACCATGGAAACAGGAAGCACTAGAAATCCGGGCTCCCTGACTCTCCCTGCCACCTACCAACACACCACTGAGTTATCCCACTAATGTTTCAAGTTATTGCTGTAGAAATTGTTATGGCCCTTAAGATTTCAGTTGATGCAAAATAACTGAGGTAGGAAAGGGCTGTATTCCCAAACCCTTCAATCCCCCCTTTGTGGCAGCAGAAATCATAAGAACTAGCATTTATTTTAGGGCTTGCTGAGTGCTTTGTGCTCTGTGCTTTATGCGTTATCTAATTTATTCCTCATTACAACCCTTTTCTATAGATGAAGACATTTGAGAATTTATGTAAATTGTTCAAGGTCACACAGTTAGAAAGTGGTGAAACTGGGATTCATATCTAGGTTTGTCTGAACTTCTTAATCATGGTGCCACTGTCTTAGTTCCTATTATTTCATAAGTAGAACAGACTTTTCTTCTCAGTTCTACAGCACCCCTCCTTCTCCCATGCTGTAAACATATAATTGAATTATAACTAAAATCAATCAAGACAACTAATTTCTAACACATAATGAATACTTTAAGGACCATCTCAAACCTCAATAAAACTCCATAACCTATTAGACCATTCTAGCAATTTATAACAATGGCCTATAGAGAATGTCAGAATTGATATTCTGCTCTCATATTATTTCAACCAACAGAGATATTTTACATGATAATTGGCTCTTAGAAACCACAATCCAATTTAATTTATTTATGAATACCTTGTATTTATATTTCATGGATATTGTTTTAATTATTAAATCACTACATCTTGGAAAGAAATGTAATTTTGTTATAGAGCAAGTGTTCTTCATGTTGACATCTGTAATGCCATTTTAAAAGTGTATGAGGATAGGGCTTCCCTGGTGGCGCAGTGGTTGAGAGTCCGCCTGCCGATGCAGGGGACATGGGTTCGTGCCCCGGTCCGGGAAGATCCCACATGCCGTGGAGCGGCTGGGCCTGTGAGCCATGGCCGCTGAGCCTGCGCGTCCGGAGCCTGTGCTCCGCAACGGGAGAGGCCACAAGAGTGAGAGGCCCACGTACCTCAAAAACAAAAACAAAACAAAACAAAACAAAAAAGTGTATGAGGATAAAAAGATTGCCTAGGTTTCAAAAACAAAATTTGGCAGATTTAGCTGGAAAACATTTTGTCGGAAAATAAATACTACACATTCAGAACTATTTAGAGTTCTAAAGTAATTATCTTGATGATTAAGGGGAAAAACCCACCTGCTAATGCACTTTAACCTGTAGTGTCCAGAATTAATATCCTAATTCAGAGAGATGGGCTGACTTGAATTAGACAACCAAGTCAGGAGGGCAGCACCACTGAATCAACAGAGCATGGATTTGGGGTTGGCAGCAGGGACCTGGCTTCAAATCTCAGCTCTGCCATTTTCCATCTGTATGAACTTGGGTGAGGTTCTGAACCCACTCTGAACATTGGTTTCCCTAGGATCAACAATACCTACGAAACAACAGAGTTATAGTGAGGATAGAACTGGTTATATAATTTGCAGGGTACAGTGCAAAACGAAAATTCCTTGCTCAGAAGACATTAAGAATCTCAAGATGACAGCAACAGCAGAGCAGTAAGCCAAGTGCAGGGGCCCTCCTAAGAGTGGGCCCCTGTGAACTACGTGGGTCATGTACCCATGCAGCTGGCCGAGGGTAGGATTATATTAAATGCCGCATGTAAACTGCATCCCACTTGGGAGGTGCCTGAAGAATGTCAGCTATTTGTGTTTTGGCTCAGTTCGTCACTTTATTTTTATACAGCGTGGAAAAGAAATCTAAGAGTCCCTCTTTTTTTTTTTTGAAGATAGGTGCCAGTCAAGCTTCACAGAATAGGCTGATAGATATCTAGCCCTGAAAGGGCTCAAAGCATAGCAGTTCAGGGTGCAGGGGGCACAGAACTCAGGAGAGCTGTGCCGACCCCCAGCCCACTCCACCGCCCCGCCCCACCTTTCCGTCAATTTTTGGAAGAGGAATAGAGATCGCAGGATTCTGTTTCCTAGCAGAGGTCTTGAAACCATAAAGCCAATCTCATGGGCTTTGTACTACATTGAATTAAACTCCTAACTCTAATTTCACCAAATAGGGTTACTGGGAGACCAGGAAGTAAAGCTTGATAACTGAGTTCCACTGTCCAGAAGGAGTCAGGAGAGAACAGAAAATCAATTTCCTGACTGTGCAGAAGCTCATGAAGCTATTAAGATACGTTGGGACTAGTCTGTTTCTTTGTAAGGAGGCAGACATTTCTGACAGACTGTTCACATAGAGGGGGCCCGTATGGTTTTCTAAACATTTTTCTTTGGGGGTCCTCTTCATCGTGGGCTGATGGAGCCTCCGCTGATTGCCTTTGCTCTTCCCTACTGCAGGTAAGAGCACCTGACGAGACTAGGGATTGGAAAGGTGAGTGTCCCTGGGGTGGAGGCATTCATCAACCTCACGTGGATAATCTTGGGGGCTCCTTTTTGGGTCATTTTCCTAAAAACATGTGTCCAGCTTCTCCTCAAAGCCTACCACTCTGATTCTCACAGCTCCCCACTTTCTTCCATAGGACAGAAGGAAGCACCCCAATGTCTCCATGGTTTCAGAACACTCTCCATTTTGCATGCTGCTGTGCATTTCTACCTGAATAACAACCTAGAATTGTATTGAGCTTCAGTTTCTATATGCCTCGTCCAGCTGGTCGATGCAGGTCTCTACTTCATTCTGTGTGCCTTGAAAGTGGAGATAAAGACAAGGGTTGTTTTATAAAGTACTTTATATTTGGTACTCGGGGAGGGTATCTGTTGCTCACTTACTTTAGGATCTTCCACAGCACTCAGCACAATACCTTACATGTAGCAGGTGCTCAGTCATTATTTGTTGAATGAATATATTCCTATATCACCATTTGTTTTTATCTATTCAGTTTTATCATGCCACCAAGACCATAACACCCTTGAAGCATTCATCTATAAAAATATTCACATTAGGGCTTCCCTGGTGGCACAGTAGTTAAGAACCTGCCTGCCAACGCAGGGGACATGGGTTCGAGCCCTGGTCCGGGAAGATCCCACATGCCGCGGAGCAACTAAACCTGTGCACCACAACTACTGAGCCTGCGCTCTAGACCCCGTGAGCCACAACTACTGAAGCCCGCGTGCCTAGAGCCCGTGCTCTGCAACAAGAGAAGCCACCTCAATGAGAAGCCTGCGCACAAAAATGAAGAGTAGCCCCTGCTCACCGCAATTAGAGAAAGCCCGCACGCAGCAATGAAGACCCAATGCACCCAAAAATAAATAAATTGAAAAAATATATATTCACATGAAAAGATGCTCAACATCGCTAATTATTAGAGAAATGCAAATCAAAACTACAATGAGGGACTTCCTTGGTGGCGCAGTGGTTAAGAATCCGCCTGCCAATGCAGGGGACACGGGTTCGAGCCCTGATCCAAGAAGATCCCACATGCCGCGGAGCAACTAAGCCCGTGTGCCACAACTACTGAGCCTGTGCTCTAGAGCCCACAAGCCACAACTACTGAGCCCAAGTGCCACAACTACTGAAGCCCACATGCCTAGAACCCGTGTTCCGCAACAAGAGAAGCCACTGCAATGAGAAACCCTCGCACTGCAACGAAGAGTAGCCTTCACTCGCCGCAACGAGAGAAAGCCTGTGCACAGCAATGAAGACCCAACACAGCCAAAAATAAATAAATATATATATATTTATTAAAAAAAAAAACTACAATGAGTTATCACCTCACACTGGTCAGAATGGCCATCAACAAAAAGTCTATAAACAGGGCTTCCCTGGTGGCACAGTGGTTGAGATGCCGATGAAGGGGACGTGGGTTTGTGCCCCGGTCCAGGAGGATCCCACATGCCGCGGAGCGGCTGGGCCCGTGAGCCATGGCCACTGAGCCTGCACGTCCGGAGCCTGTGCTCTGCGACAGGAGAGGCCGCAGCGGTGAGAGACCCGTGTACCGCAAAAAAAAGGGGGAAAAAAAAGTCTATAAACAATAAACGCTGGAGAGTGTGTGGAGAAAAGGGAACCCTTCTACACTGTTGGTGGGAATGTAAACTGGTACAGCCACTATGGAGAACAGTATGGAGGTTCCTTAAAAAAGTGAAAATAGAACTACCATATGATCCAGCAATCCCACTCCTGGGCATATATCCAGAGAAGACCATAATTCGAAAAGAGACATGCACCCCTATGCTCACTGTAGCACTATTTACAATGGCCAAGACATGGAAGCAACCTAAATGTCCACTGACAGAAGATGTGGTACATATATACAATGGAATATTACTCAGCCATAAAAAAGGAATGAAATAGTACCATTTGCAGCAACATGGATGGGCCTAGAGATTATCATACTAAGTGAAGTCAGAGGAAGACAAATATCATATGATATTGCTTATATATGGAATCTAAAAAGTGTTACAAATGAACTTACTTACAAAACAGAAACACACTCACAGACTTAGAAAACAAACTTACGGTTATCAAAGGGGAAAGGTGCGGGGGAGGGATAAATTAGGAGGTTGGGATTAACATATACACACTACTATATATAAAATAGATAACTAATAAGGACCTACTATATAGCACAGGGAATTCTTCTCAATACTCTGTAATAACCTACAGAGGAAAATAATCTGAAAAAGAATAGGTATACAATATGTATATGTGTAACTGAATCACTTTGCTGTACACTTGAAATTAACACATTGTAAATCAACTATACTTAAATATAAAATAATTTTTTTGATTTATTGAGTGCCTGCTGTGCAACAGGAAAATTCTGAAAACGAAAGGAATGAACATGATTAACTCTATCAAATATTACAACATATGCTCTTTGACAATAACAATGTGGCATATCTAGAGAGGGAAAGCAACTCACTGGGCAAGAGCGGGTTCAGTCATCTAACCACAGATCTTCGCAGGGACTGGAGTTTCTCTCACTGCTGGGACTGAGATCTGGCGAGGGTGAGGGTCCCAGTGCAACATCCAGGATGGAGAAGATCAGCTTTGGGATGGTTTGTGACAATAACTATGGAACCACACTTCTTGTCAACTGGGGGCTTCCCCAAACAAGTTGGAACCTGGTGTCTTCTTAGTCCATTTGGGCTCCTATAACAAGAATACCACAGAGTGGGTAGCTTAAACAATAAAATTTTATTTCTCACACTTCTGGAAGCTGGAAAGTCCAAGATCAAGGGGCCGGCAGGTCTGGGGTCTGGCGAGAGCCTGCTTCTGGCTCATAGATGGCTGTCTTCTTGCTGTGTCCTCACAAGGTGGAAGGGGCAAAGGAGCTCTCTGGGATCTCTTTTATAAGGCACTAATCCCATTCACGTGGACTCCACCCTCATGACCTATGCTCATCCCAAAGGCCTTACCTCCTAATACCATCATATTGGGAATTAGGTTTCATATACGAATTTTGGAGGGGTACAAATATGCAACCTATAGCACCTGTCAAGTGCAAGTTTGTTCTAAGAAGCACCAGGGCTTGGTGTGATAAACACAGCCTTCAGATCAAGCAGGATGATCTCCTCCATTACTTGCTAGCTGAGCTTCCTAGGGCAAGTTGTTTCACCTCTCTGAGCTGTAGCTATTTCACCTGCAGAATGAAGGCACCTAAACCTATTAGACACCTAATAAGGAATAGCTATCACAGTGTCTTGACAATGGGGCTGATACAAGGATAGGCTCAAAATGTGTATCTGGCTAAAGGTTAAAGTACTATCTCTACCTTTTCTAATCAGAGCTGCATAAGGCTAATTGATAGCATAATTCTGGAGCCTAAGAAATGAGTGCCTCTTATAGAACTGAATTGTCAAGGGACGAGCTGAGGCAATAATCAATCCCTCTACAGCAGTGCTTCTCAACACAATCAAACCCAATGCCTCTCTTTTATAACCATTTTAATGCTTTGTATTAGTCAAGGTTCTCCAGAGAAACAGAATCAATAGGATATATGTAGATATACAAGAGGAGATTTGTTATGGGAATTGGATCATGTGATTATGGAGGCTGAGATATGCCATCTGCAAGCTGGAGAGCCAGGGCAGCTGGTGGTATCATTCAGTCCAAGTCTAAAGGCCTGAGAACCAGGAGCTCTGATGTCTGAGGACAGAAGATGGATGTCCCAGCTCAAGGAGAGAAAGGGAATTGCCCTTCCTTCGCCTTTTTTGTTCTATTCAGGCCCGAAAAGGATTGGATGATGCCCACCCACACCGGCGAAGGATCTTCTTTACTCAGTCTACTACTGGTCTACTGATTCAAATGCTAATCTCTTCCAGAAACACCCTCACGGACACAACCAGAAACCAGCTATCTAGGCATCCCTTAGCCCTGTCAAGTTGACACGTAAAACTAACCATCATGTGCCCCTTTACAGTGTTGAAGCTCATAATTATTAACACCTATCTATGTGCATAATTTCAAAGAAAAATAACACCCTGCAATAAAAAGGAGAAATAAAAGCAATGTATAATATTACTTATATGTATGTAGCTCAATGTGTAAATGCTTAAGCACACTACATCAGAAGAAAAAAGGTGCCTTCCTGACATTTTCACAAGCCCCCTGGAGCCCACGTGGTTCTGCCTCCTACCCAGTTCTAAGGGCAGGGGGAGTAGGTATCAGGCATCAGTCAACTCCTGGTACATTAATCTTCACCCTCTCACCCCCAGCCCCTACCTTGACCCCATCACCAACAAGGAATGAGGCAAAGCATCCAGGATATGTTCTAGCCCTTTCTACCCTCCCCCACAAAGCTCTGCCTCTCCAGGGCGAGGAAGATGTAGCAGAAGAACCAGGAAGGCCTTTGATACCCCGAGTCTCAGCCTCAGAGGAGATGAGGGCCATCAGGGCTCTCTGTTCTTTCTGAAGGATGAGGAGAGCAAGGAGGGGTGCTTAGCTGTCCGACCCATCTCTCACCTCCCAGCAGGAACTAGGGTGCTGCACTCTGACCCCAGCTGTCTTCAGCTTGCGGGCCCTCTCTCAGGCTGGCTGGCTGGCTAGCTGGTCCCTGGTTTCCAACTCTTCTACGGCTGGGGCAGACCCAGCTGACAGGCCTGCACTCCTTGAGGCTGGGCCTGGGTCTGCAAATATGTGATGAGGGGTCCCAAAACCTTGGGCACAAGAAGGACAGTGTCAACTGCCCTCCTGCAGCAGGACTTTCTCATAGGCTGACCATGAGGTGTGCTCACTGGCAGGGTGGGGGGCTCCGGTGCACCAGCACAGCAGAGGGAGCAAGTCCTGTCACTCGGGCTAGGCTCTCTTTGGCCCTTTCTTCTCAGGGGCGAATGAGTCATTTGGACAAGACATACAAACCCTCCCCCAGTGGTGCCTCATGGCCACAGCACCCGTGATCAGGGTCTTTGCTCAAGCCCAAGAATGGGAGCTTCTCTGGCCACTGGGGAGTTGTATTCAAGCCTGCCCAGAACTTGCTTTAAAGCTGTGAAGCGGGAGAAGCAGGGTTCTGAGCCATTCTCTGGGCTTCCTAGCTACACGGGCAAGGGATCTACTCTGAGCCGATTCTTGGGCCTGGTTGTTCCCCAGGGACTGCCATCATCTCTGTCCACGGGGAGCAGGGGCCTGAAGTGGCTGGCCTATTTCCTGGGAGGTCTGGCATTTCCTCTTGCCAGACCCAGGTGCGCCCACTGCTTGAGGGAAAAAAAATGCCAGCTAAGAAAATGGTCCAATGGCGCTCCCTGCTGGTCATATGCTAGACTGCGTGGCTTTGCAGACGGACATGCCAACCTGTTGTTTCTCACTTGGGAGAGGAGACTTATTTTTAAAAGCACTATATTAGGTAACTATTGCTGCAGAAAAAATGAGTGGCTTAAAAAAACAATACTGTTTGTATGGGTCAGGAATTTGGTGTGGCTGGGCAGTTCTGGCTCCAGGTCTCCCATCACGTGGCCATGAGACATCAGCCAGGCCTGCAGCCATCTCAGGGACTCACTTCAGAGGTGGTGCATTAAAATGGCTGGCAAGTTTGTGCTGGCTGTTCGCAAGGGGCCTCAGGGCCTTTCCATGGGGGCCTCTCCACAGCTGCTTGCCCGATCTCATGGCATTGGAGACTGACATCCCCTGGAGCAAGTGATTCAAGACGGTGAAGTGGAAGCTCAGATGGTTTTTACCACTTGGCCCTGGAAGTCACACACTGTCATTTGCACGATATTCACACAAACTAGCTGTGATTCAGTGTGGGAGTAAACTACACGAGGATATGAATTCCAGAAGGTGAGGATCCCTGGTGCCATCTTGGAGGCTGGCTACAGCAAGCACCTACCATGTGCTAGGTAGTGTGTGAATAATATATAACATCAAACAGAGCATACAATTTGCAATTATTGCATGTTGATGTGTCCAGGTGCTCAGTACTTTCCCTGAGTTATCTCGTTTATCTTCACAACCCTACCAGTTTGGTCCTGTTATCACCCATGGAAGAGGTTAGGAAATTGGGACTTAGGGAGGTTAGATAGTGAGGTCACATGGCTGATAAGTGGTTGAGTCAACATTTAAGACTTTGTTCTGTGTTCACTATGCTGAATGCCTTTCTAGGCATTTAGAGCTAACAACCAAGGAGGTGGGCACAGATGAGGAAACTGAAGCTCAGAGAGGTCAAATAACATAGTCAAGTTTACAGAACCAGTCAACGGCAGAGCCAGGATTTGAACAGAGGTGACACCAGAGCCCATGCTCTGTCCACCCCACTGCATTGCTCCAGAACAGAGGAGAAAGATACAGAAAGAATACAAAGAACTTTGAGGTAGCCAGCCCATCCAGTGCCTTTGTATCTATCAGAAGACACACCCTCTGGGAGGCTGTAGTTCTGCAGGCGCTGGGCTTAGCAAGCTCAGTCCTTACTTTCCTCCTGGGCTAGGTGCTCCTGCCCAGGGCAAAATCTGAGTGTGGTATCCCTCGGGTAGGAAGCTAACAGGTAGACAAATGGGAGAGAAGTGGTCATAAGCTTAAGAGGGTGGTGGCAGGGGAAAAGGAAAGGGGATGGGAGGAATAATAAACAAAAAAGGAGAAGGGAGAGAGAAAATTTTATGAGGAGGGGAAGAACAGGGAAAAACGATAAAAAACAGACCAGGTGCATGGGGCCTGATTAGTCCTCCCAGGTGAATGCTTGGGACCTTCTCGACGTGTGGCGGGGAAAGCAGAAGACCAAGTGTGTGAAGTCCTTCGACTCCAGTTCACACATTCCTCCCCACCTCCATCACTAGTCTGGGGAATGGGGAGAAGGAAAGACACTGGCCAGAGGACAACCTGGTTTCAGGTAAAATGGGGTACAGCAGGGTGGGCAGCCTCCTGGGGACCCAGGGAAACCCAATGCAGAGGATAACCACTAGAGTATCAGAGAGCTGATGGATGGATCGATTAACTAGAAGATAAAACTGGAGAGTATAATTGATGGCTTCATCATTGCTTTTCTTTGCAGTTTGATCTCCAGAGCTAATTGTTTAACTGGCAGGTTCAGCTTTATTAGTGGCCGCTGATGATCTAATGTCTGCTTGCTTTTGCATTTGAGTTTGTCAAGTTTTACTTTCACAGCAGGTTATGGAGTCAGAAGCCACCTGGAGGGGCTGATAATTTGAAGTATAAAGAGTTATGAGACTCAGAGGCAGAAAAACCTGGATTTGAGTCCTAGTTTCACAGCAGCTGGAGATGACAAGCCGCCACCCCCGCCCCAGTAGCCACGAGTGCTCCCACAATCAAGCTTCACTTGGGCTGCCTCTCTGGAAAGTTCAGCAGCCTCCGAGAGGCCAGTCTCTAGAAGGAGGGTGAAGCAGAAAACTCACTTTTTTCCTGCCTCCTCTACTCCAATAAGATCTCACAGTTGCCAACTGGCCTAAAAAACATATCTGTTTGTTTCACTCTTCCACTCATAATCTTGCAATGATTTCCATCTACCTATGGCATAAAATTCAAATTCCTGAACTTTTGCTTATGCTGTTACTTTTTATTGAAAATCTTCTACCTCTCTCTGCCTGGTACTCTCCTATTCAAACTTCAGCTTGATTATCCACCCATTCATCCATCCATCCATCCATCCATCCATCCATCCTGCATCCTGAAACTCTACTTCAGTGCTTCCTAAGCTTGTCTGCACATTGGAATCACCTGGGGAGAGTTGAAAAAAATGCTGATATCCTATCTCATCTTCAGAGACTGTGATTTAATTGGCCTGGAGTGTGGCCTGGGCTTCAGAAGTTTAAAAAGATCCTCAGGTGATTCTAATGTGTAGCTAAGTTTTGGGACCACTGCCCCACCACTCTGTACCATATACTGTAATAGCCCCTGAGGACTTAGAGATAAAAGTTGGTTTAGACTAGAAATTTAGTGTAGAAGGAGAAATAGATTGGTAAATATATAATTACCCAACAATGTACACAAGTGCTATGAAAGAGGTAAGCCAGGTATTCTCGGGAAGGTACAGGAGGAGCACATAACCCACAGTGGTGGGACTGAGGGATGGTGGTCAGGGCTGCCAAGTCTTCCAGGACAAGAAGGGGGTAGGCATCCCAGTCGGATGGAAACCTGAACACAGCACAGCAAGCTGGAGAAAGCATGTCACTTTTGGGGGTGGACAAGAACTTAAGGTGACTGAAGCTTTGCGGGCAGTGAGCTTGTGGAGGCTGATGGGGCCTTACAGGGAGCACGAACTGGAGAGCTAATGAAGGCAGTGTCAGTGGCAGGGCAGGTAGGGCACTTGGTGAACTTCTCCAGGGAAGTCTCCCTCACATCTTCTCCACCTGCACACTCCAGCCCACGACAGAGCCCTAACCTTCCTTATGCCTCTGGCCCGTAGCTCTGTGCCTGGCAGAGAATAACTGCCCACACCTCATGTCACATGGTGAGGTAGAGAAAACATAGGCTTCGGTGTCAGACCAACTTGATTCAAGACCCAGCTCCAGCGGTATGATATTGGGTGAGTCAGCCATGTTCTCTGATCTTGGTTTTCTCCACTATAAAATGGAGAAAATGCCAAGCTCATGAGATGACACTGAGGATCAGAAGAAATTCAACAGTGTTTTTCACAGTATGGTCCTTGGACCATCAGCCTCAGCACTGCCTGGGAACTTGTTAGAAATGCAAATTCTTGGGCCCCATCCCAGACCTGCTGACTCAGAAACCCTGTGCAAGATGCCAGCACTCTGTGTTTTCACACACCCTGCAGTTAGTTCTAATACATGCTGAAGTTTGAGAAACACTGATGTAACTGCCTCATCCCTGTGCTTGCTTTTCTGGAAACCTACATTACTCCTAAAAAGTAGAACAATGGAACCAGCCACAGAGCTCCGGCCTCTGCTCTGGCCCCCCCTTTCCTTCTTATTGGTCACTGCAGATGTGAGGCTCAGGAGGTCAGGCTTTGAAGTCAGTATGTTTGAGAGGGAGTTCCATGCCAGCTGTGTGGTGTGTGTGTGTGTGTGTGTGTGTGTGTGTGTGTGTGTGTGTGTGTG